TTTCTACCGTTGGGTTGCTTTCTACTCTATCTCTTTTTTCTGAGAGAGTTTGGTGGAGGTCTTGAATTTGTTGGGACCAAAATGGGATGTAATCTTTCCTTGAACCCCGAGATATGGTTTCTTTGGCTGCTTTTAATATAGCTTCTGTAAACCCTTTTACTGATTTAGCAACCTGACTTGATTTGCCGTTTACATTTATCGAGTATACATCAGCAAGGTTAGCAAAACTGTTCCAGTCAGCTTTCTTGTAATTCCAACGAGGGGGCGGCATCGAATGAAGGCCTCTCATATTTAGAACAGAAATCAGGATCGGCCGGTGGTCACTACCTGCTAGTTGGCTGAGCACCGTTTTGTGTATGTTGCTTGCCAAGTCTGACGTGGCAAATGTTAAGTCTGAGCGGCTGGTTGAAAGCCATCTCCTGGAGAAAAAAGATGGGGAGTCATCTTGATAAACATACATTTTTGCAAGTGGCTATAGATTTTGTAATTTACAACTGTACTGGCGCTGCTTTTTTTTCTTCCAAAAGCGATGACTTTCTTTTATCTTTGTTTGACTAATAATTTACGTACTCTTAAAAAAAAATTAAACATACCGTTATTGGAAAACGCATGGAGATTGTTTGAAATCAATTCAAATGAGCAGCGATGTTTTTTTTTCGATAGCCTATCCAGCATACTTTGAAAAATCCGCAGCTCAAGGGAGACTAATGCTGGAGATGACCAGCTCAGAGTAAAAAGCTTATGATACGCATATAGTTTGGAGTTGTGAAAAGTTCTCGTTACTGCAAATATGACAAAAGAAAAACTAGATGTATGTTTACATTCTGCTTAAAACACACACACACATGATTATTGACTGCCAAATGACAACAACTTACACGGAACGGTTACTGTGTTACATATTTTTTTTTATCTTATTTGGGCAGAACTTTAGGAACGGACTAAAGAATCAACATTCAGTTTATACTTTCGCTTCTGTAAGAATAATAAATAAATTATGGTTATTTCGCCAAACTATTAGGGCTGGCCAGGTAAAGATGGACAACTTGCTGACAAACCAGAAATATTATATACGCTTGAGATGATGCTCTCCATACATCATTTAGCTGACAGTGACAGCACAAGACGCTGTCACGGTATCTACGCAATGAATGAGTCCTTGACAGCGTTAAGCCAAGTATAGGGCACAACTGTCCATAATAACGCTGCAGCACACCAGACTTCTTAGCGTGAACACTGCGCAGGAAAGGTTATATTAACCTTACTGTTTAAACACGGAATTCGTCATTGAAGTGTTAGTTGGGTTTACGTGGGAAACTTCAGGTGTTGTGCTCTGGCTGGTCTGACTTATGGGGAAGCGACATTGTTTGCTTTTTTTTCACGGTAGACTGGCAATATATTCATCTACTGCCCTTGGTGTCAGTAGTTAGATCCCCGCCGGAGCATCCAGTCGTGTACAAGGTCAACCAGTAGAAGTAAACGCAGAGAAAAAAAGTGGTTAAATGGTCTTCTTCCTCTCCTGCTAACGTTGTTCTTCGTCTTTTTACTCGCCTTCCTCATCGAATTGATTTGAGTCGAGAATTGACATCATAGCACTCGGAGCATTTCCATGCGAGTTCCGTCCTCATCTTCAACATCCAGCGCAGAGTTTATGTACTGATGGTACCGGTCACAATCTGGTTATATGTCCGTCTTGCCTTTCCTTTTAGTGTAGTGAGCCGGCCAGACCCTCTTGTTATACCAAGGTGCCTTATTCTCTCCAGGCCATAATAATCTTGTTTCTCCACCGATTCCGTTGCTTGTTTCCAAAAGGGCCTTGACCACATCTGTCTTGCCATCTATCAGCATGTATCAGTTAACCACCCAGTGGTGCAGATCCAACAATCTGTCCTGGAGAGAAGATCCAAAGTATGCTAACTACCCGTGACTTTCCTAGTGAAGATTGACACTCTGCTTGAAGCATCCCTGCATTCACCTACCTCGGGATGCCTTAAGAATCTGTTATAATTACGACATGTGTATGCATATTGTTCTCTAGCCACCAGAGAGTTGCAGTTACCGCCTCCACCTCCATTCTCATGCTAAATGTTGTGATGTCGTATACTAGGCTGTCTTGTACTAAACATTTTCCATTGGTTTTCGCACTTCTCTTTCCTCTCAACACCGAACCATCTCCTCGAATCTTATGTTTAACTTGCTGCAGGAGAGATGTATGATAACAAATGAATCATGGCATTTTTTGGAAATTTGCAACAGGTCAGTGTGGTACGGATCATATAACTTCTCTGGTGAAGACTGAATGCTGCGGCTGGCTGATCACTTTAAGTTAAATTTAAAAATAGCAGCGCTCAAATCCCTTTTGAACGCTAAAATATTTTACAAGATCCACTGTAACGTAATTCTTCTCATTTCATCTGTTGTATAGTGTAATAGGATATCCAGGATTCGCCGATTAGAGTTAAAAAAAAAAAAAAAAATAATGTGTGGAAGTAGTCTTTGCTAAATATACCACTGCGTTTTGAAACAAGAAAAAGTGTGCAGTTAGATCGCGGTCATTACACAATCGTTAGATAAGCCCTAGGTGTCTGAGCGCCAGATTCCGGCGATTATAAAAGAAATGCATGCGTTCCTGTTGAACGTTGGAGCTTTGTTTTGTGGACACTTTATAAAGAGTTCGCTTGTTTTTCCACCTTTTAGGGCTACCTTCCTATTAGTGTTGATATCTACCTCTTACGCCCGGCTCGCTAGCGTAGTTGGTTAATCTGGAGTTCGCAGTAACTGGGTGACGAACTCCTTGTGGTCTGGGTACACGCCCGAGGGTAGGCAGAAAACCATATTTCTCCCACATTTACGGTATCTATCATGGAATCAAGGCCGAATGGTTTCGATATCCATAGTACCGAGCCAAAGGGTTAACAACTCATGGTTTCTGGATACTTAAAAAAAAAAAAAAAAAACTACCTTGTACTTACACACCTTCGTATATCCAGAGCGTCGTTTGGCTGAACTAAAAAGACAGAAAATAGAAATCGCACGTGTCTAATATGGTTACTGTTGTAATCATTGTCTGCGCAAATACAGAGATAGTCTTCTATGCCCCCCCCCCCCTAAATCCACCTACTACCCTCTCCCTCATTGAAGGTTCTTGGGGAAAAAAGACAATAGAAATCGCACGTGTCTAATATAGTTAATGTCGCAATCATTGTCTGCGCAGACATAGAAATAGTCTGTGATTGCCCCCCCCCTCTCTCTCTCTCTATCTCTCTCTCAAATCCACCGACTACTCTCTAACTCATCGAAGGTTGTTTGAAAAGAAAGAAAATAGAAATCGTTCTAATATGGTTAATTGCTCAATCATTGTCTGCGCAAATAAACAGATAGTCTGGTTTGCCGTACCACGCAGGCGAATGGTGGAAGTCGTGCGTTCCAACAACTGCGCATGCGCAATTACGGACGTGGTTTCAATTAAATGTCAAAAAAAATGAAAATATTGGATTAAATTTTCCGAACAAATATCGCCACATTTTTCAAGCCATGATAGGTAGGATCCCGGTACCAAAACAAACATATCCTGAAAATTTCAGCTAAATCGGTTTAGTAGTTTCCGAGTCTATAGGTAACAAACAAACACACAAACATTGATTTATATATATAATATATATGTGTGTGTGTGTGTGCATGTGTGTTATTGTGTGTGTGTTTCACTTCACCTTGGGGTATGAATGTACATACGCATGCTGAATTTAATAAGGGAGATGGGATTTAGTTTTTTAATGTTGGCTACGGTTGGTACACCAGTAGCACTCATATGCCCTTTTGTATGAAGTCAGCGCTGCGAAACCCAAGTTCAAGGTATTTCCTTCATGCCAAAAAAACTGCATGGCTGTTGGAAAAGGGGTCGTCGCTGTTTGAGACTGGCACAGTTCAGTATAGAATTCGTGTTTGTCTGAACCCCATTCTGTCCCATTTTCGTCGCAATCGCCTTTGTCCGGATCGCTTCTTGCGTTTTCGACGGCCAGACAATAAAACACAGAAAATTGAAATATTTTGGTCACTTGAAACGTCATGGAAGTCTAGAGAGAACAATAATGGAGGGGTATATGCCTGGGAAGAGAGGAAGAGGAAGGCCAAGGAGAAGATGGGTGCAGGATGTGGCAGATGATCTCCAGATGGGTGTATCAGACGCAGGACATCTTGCTCAGGATAGGAAGGTTTTCCGGAGGGTTGTTATGGCAGCGAGGTTCCGCGAGGGACATGCTACTGAATGAATGAATGACATTTGCCGCCCAGGCGTGAACTTGTTTTCCTCTGCTTTCCTCCTCCATTACCAAATTTAATTTACCACATGACACTTGACGCTTACACGGGAGAATCTCATCGCGATGCACGTAGCTCCGAGGCATGGGCGACGATCCAGCAGACAGCAAAACCACATAAAATCGCTTCATGTAAGAGGATCCATTTTTTGTAAACGACAGTGGCCACGTCCCCATCCTGCGCGACGTTCTCGTCGTTATTAAAAATTCTCACAGTCGTGGGTAGGTAGATGCTTCGCTGGAGAAAAACAAATCCTCACGTTCAGCCAGCATCCGTGAAAGGGGAACTTTAGGTTATAATTGTGAATAGGTTATGTGAGCCATATAAAATTGCTCAGCATTGCAAGCCCCTAAGAGCCCTGAGTTGACACATTTACTTAAAAATTATGATTAACCAAATACTTTATAACTTGTTTTAGAATCTGTGTGTTTGCGTTTGTACGTATGTAATATATATATATATTATAAAATAAATGTATATGTGTAAATGTGTATATTTATAATGTATACATATTATGTATGTGTGCGCGCGCGTGTGCTTGCTCGCAGGTGTGTGTATGGTGAGAGTGCATGATATTCAAGTTATTACCTAGTGTTTTGAACACTTAAAACTCACATGTTATGTCTTATACTTCTTTCTTGAATTATTCGACTGATGTGTCCATTGTGTGATTCCTCCCACAGGGCCTGTTTGCGGCCGGTCGACTTATAGCTGTGCCTGTTGCTGCCCGCTTGACGGCCTCGTTCATGCTGGTCGTCAACATTGTAAGTGACTGTCGTGTTAGTCTCAAAATCTTCTTGTTAGTCTCAAAATCTTCTTGTTAGTCTCACAACCTTCTTGTTAGTCTCAAAATCTTCTTGTTAGTCTCACAATCTTCTTGTTAGTCTCAAAACCTTCTTGTTAGTCTCACAATCTTCTTGTTAGTCTCAAAACCTTCTTGTTAGTCTCACAATCTTCTTGTTAGTCTCAAAACCTTCTTGTTAGTCTCACAATCTTCTTGTTAGTCTCACAATCTTCTTGTTAGTCTCACAATCTTCTTGTTAGTCTCAAAACCTTCTTGTTAGTCTCACAATCTTCTTGTTAGTCTCAAAACCTTCTTGTTAGTCTCACAATCTTCTTGTTAGTCTCAAAATCTTCTTGTTAGTCTCAAAATCTTCTTGTTAGTCTTAAAATCTGTTTGTTAGTATCAAAATCTTCTTGTTAGTCTCAAAATCTTTTTGTTAGTCTCAAAATCTTCTTGTTAGTCTCAAAATCTTCTTCATCTGCTGCGAATTCTGATGCCTCAACAATGTCTGCAGGTTATTGATACTCTGTTAACATGAATTATTTTTTTATCTTTAAAATAACATGAGGTTTTCGGATTTTTTAAATTGTGAAAGCAGCAGTTCTCAGAATGAAGAAAACTCAGTGCAATGTAATTTTGTCCCTAATGAAGATAAAGTCACCGTGGCGTAGCTTGCGGATCGAAAGGTCGTGGGTTCGCTCTCTGACCAGGGCCGGAATTATTTTTAGAAATGACTTAGGTTCCTAGATTGACCCAGCCTTGAGTGGGGTAACAGGTGCTGCCCTTGGAAGTACTGGCGGCTGGCGTGATGCTGACCACATCACCCATCTTGTGCCGATTGGTCTATGAAAATATAGGTCTAGCCCTATACACCCAATACGCCTAAGGGCGTGGAAAAAGGTCCTTTACTTTGACAAATAAAGATAAGCTGAAAGCAGTTTACTTATGAAAAGTACTAAATATCAAAACCACAAAAAGACTATCTACATTTCTTACGACTTCACGAAAAAGGGAAGATGGAGTACGTCGCGACAACGTTACAGTTAAAGGGGAAGAAAGTCACAAGCAAACAAATAGAGAAGACTCTAGTCAGATGTGTTTTATGTTACAGTAGAATAACTCTATAATAAATAATTGACAGTATGCATATAACGGAATGGAAGAATAAACAGGGAGCCTGCATGACGAATAAATGCCACAACTAGATGATGATGGCGATGATAATGATACTTAACAATTGGCTGTGGATTACCAACGGCACATGGCATGGGCTACAAGATGAATAACACACAATTACAATATAGCTATAGACTAAAAGGCAGGTGTCGCAGCATCTAAGAATTCAAATATAAGCTTGAAGATCGATATGCTGACCTGGCCGTACAGGCAATGGTGGCTAGTGTCGGTGGTCTGGTTGACTTACTGCCGATGTGATTGAAGACAGACACATGCCAGACTGTATGGTAACAATTTCACGTAACTGTAATATTCTAAATCATGAAAATAAAAGCAAATAGAAATCATTAGCCTCCTCTTCTACCCGTTATCTCACGGTGACTAATACTGAATTTGAAACAACAGTCGATCAGTATTTGGACACGAAGCAACGAGATTTCTAAACGTAACCTTGCATTCTGTCTTTTCTTTTCTGAAAGTCGATGCTATGAGGACTGGTGGTCATCGTCAGTCCATAACCTTTTGTCGCTTGTACTTTTTTTTTCTGTCATAATGCCAAACATCTTCGCTCTTGACAGTCTCGTATCTCTTTCTCTCCGAGTTAACTGTCGTCAAGGCGTACTCCAGTTTCCACCGTCTCGTAACGTATCAACCATCTTCTTTCTTGGTCTACTCGTGTCTTTTCTCATCCAACTGATATGCTGTCATGATGCTTTCCTAGTCTTGTAAAACGCTCAAAGGATGAGGTTGCTTTATATACAGGTAATCAATTCTATTTCTGAATTAACATTTACCGCCAGCGACATTTATTAAAAGTATTTTTTCGTGGTGTTTTAGTAATTTTTATAACAATCCAGTTGTAACTACGAATAAAATGAGTTTAGTTTTGGCAAGACAGTTAGTAACAAATTGACATTTACTATTAACAAATAATTTCACTTTGCTGTAAATGTAAATGCCGTACATAGAGATATACCAAGTAAAACTATCAGTCGAACTGCCCTTTAGCCCCCCCCCCCCCTTTTTTTTTTTCCACTACTGTGCACGTCATAAAAATGTGAATGCGATATGAAGCAAACGAAAAGTAGAACCAGTCCGCTTCACATTATGACAAACACGACCTATAAGTGAACTTTGCAACTAGAGAGCCGTCATCGCAAAGTTACACAAATCCAAAATACCATAATTATGAACTAGAATGATAATTACAAAAGCAATTTAAAAAAAAAAATACAGGACGAACAAGTTAAACAGACAGTAGCAGCTCTGGGAGGGCACGACACTCGAGAGCGGTGAAATCAGTGAACTGTAGTCAAAATGTTACAGTAAAGACATCAGATGAATCGATTGTTCTGAACAGAGACGTAGGAGGGGATAGACTTTTTAAAGATTAAGCATAATAGGGTTTACTTTGATTTTGTGCAAGCGAAAAAGATACGTAAAATATGTCAAGATTTATAAGCCGATAGTGCAACAGGCAGCTCCTATTTACGTCTAGTTTGTTTCTCTTGCTGTCCGGCGCTATCTTCTCTATCTGCTGTCAACCATTAGAAATGTTTCATTCTATGTGTCTTGGCCTTATCACGAGACTATGGAAGCTGCAGTGTATGTTTGGTGTCATGTGTGTTGCGCTACCAAGTGTAAGAAGAGCACGAAGCAGGACCTTCTATCTCCCTCGACCCCCGAAGCAGTGAAATAGGTCGTAAATAAGAAAGGTATGGCTAACCATAACCATCAACGTATATGACAGGTTGCGTGACAGTAGAAATAGTTATCATTAGTAATGACCAAGCTACTGTATACTCTCCAGCTGTAAAGTCAAATGTTACTCGTACCAATTCTCTATTGGCATCATCTCTGCTGTGCTGGTTATTTTAACAATCAGACAAACAGTCAGCAGTTTGGAAAGAGGTATAATATCAACCCGAAATAACAATATTTAGCTCCCTTCATAGCAGGGAGTCGCCGTAGTGTAGCGGCTAGACGCTCGCTTGCTGATCCCAGCGTCATGGGTTCAGATCCTGATGGAGCCTGACTTTCTTCAGAAATGAGCCTAACTCCCAGGCCGACCCAGCCCTAAAAGGGCGCTATTTAAAGTCCTGGGAAGTAAAAGCACCGGCATGATGTTGATCCCTTCAACTACCAATTGCCGATTGGTTTATAAAATATAAGTATATGCCCAATACTCTTGAATAGGTGGAAAGGAGCCCTTTAATTACTTCTATTTTTATTGAGAATTTGACCACAAATAATTTGTTAAGAAGGAAATATCCTAATATCTACCGGAAAAAAATAATAATGAATAGCCTCCATTGTAGCTGAACTGTATGCTCACACAGAGCAGTCTGAGTGAAAGGACAACTGTGACTTAGTGAAGTATCAGTATGAAATAAGATGGAATTATGTGAGGATAAATGGGTTAATGCAGTAGCTGAATGTAATAGGAGTCGGTTAAAGTGATAAAACAAGAGGATTACTCATAGTAATATTTTGTACTCTGATGAGTTAACATAATGGCGGAGTGGGTTAATGCAGTAGCTGAATGTAATAGGAGTCGGTTAAAGTGATAAAACAAGAGGATTACTCATAGTAATATGACGTACGCTGATGAGTTAACATAATGGCAGAGTGGGTTATTGCAGAAGTTGAATGTAATAGGAGAGATAAAAGTCAATTTATGTGAGGTAGATTTTTTTCAGTATTATGCAAATCTTCGAAATGCCGTCCCTAACAACTTCGCGCTGTCAAATTAAAAGCTAAGATTATATTTTGATTTAGCTATTTATGTTCCCCTTCTCCCAACCTCTTACAGTGCCGTCTGATGCGGTCAGGCCTCTGTATCGTAGCAGGGAATGATGAAAGTGATAAACGCGTGTGAAAGCGTTCATGTGACTGAAGGAAATACACGTAAAACACAGGGACTGGTCAAAAATAATCATTAGTTCATGTATACAGACACTCGAAAGGAGACAGTTTTGAACTTCTGCATGTTGAGATAATAGCTTTTGCTCTTTATATTTCACTTTCTCCGGCAGTTAGCTGTCGACATACTTGTCATCCGGGCCCAGTATGACCCATACATAGGCTTGCGAACGTTCGAGAATAAACCTGGCCTGGGGCAACTGAGCACATGGCTGTCTGCCAGTCTTGTGTGCAGGAGTTGACAGACACTTCACCCTCGGGTAATGCATCTAGATATAGGCAAAATTCAGTTTGGATTACTTTGATGAATAAAGTGACACGCAGAGTATGATCCTAAGATAACAGAAGGTTTAAGAATTACCGTTTTTTTCCCCCGTGTACAAGACCATAGGTTTTCACACATTATTTACGTTTCAAATTGGGGGTCGTCTAATACGTGGAATGTGTTTATAATTTTTATTTCTGAATTTTGGGGCTAAAAAATATTGGTTGGTTTCTACTCAGAATGTCTTACATAAAAAACAAGTCTCTCTCTACATGTCTTTGCTTTACCTTTTCCTTCAGAATTATTCCTATACATTACGTACATTATTTATGTTCTCTGTTATTTTATGAGCTTTTTGCTGGTGTCAGCTTCAAAATATAAAGGAGAAAGACCTTTAAGTAAGGGATCCTTTTCCACGCCTTGAGACGTATTGGGCATTTATGGCTAGACCTATGTGCTATAGTCTAGTCGGCACTCGGTGGGTGATGTGCCAAACGTCTCACTGGTCACCTTAACTTTCTAGGACTCTGCTCAATACCCATTTCAGACTGGGTCGACCTGGGAGCCAAGGTCATTTTTTAAAAGAGATTGGCTTCCATAGGATCTGAACCCCCGATCTTATGAACCGCAGGCGTGAGTCTGCTCTCTACACCACGACGGCTCACAGTTTAGAAAAGGAGATGCACTATTTTTTGCTTAAAGCCTTACACTTATACATTACCTTGAAACAAATATATGTCGAGGTGATTTAGTATAATAGGGACAGGAACACAGCCATGATCAGGGTGGGGATAACTTGTGACACAGCTTAGCAGGAGCTCGCAGAACATCCATTTTTTGAACTCAGTAACGGATCATGTTAACCAAGAACAGAGCTAAACACTCAGTAAAATTGAAATAGGATAATACCAGTGCTTCAGTAAAAGGATTCCGCAAGTAAGTAAAGTTAGCATCTCTCCCAACCCCCCCCCCCCCCATTTTTCCTCACCCCATCACCCAACAACAAGTTGGCGGTACTCATCATAAAGTTTCGAAAACAGGCGCCGCTACTCATCGCAAATTGTCTAAAACAGGCGCCGCTACTCATAGCAAATTGTTTAAAACAGGCGCCGCTACTCATAGCAAATTGTCTAAAACAGGCGCCGCTACTCATAGCAAATTGTTTAAAACAACCTTGCTACTCATCGCAAATTGCCCAAAGCAGGCGCCGCTATTTATCACAAATTGTCTAAAACAGGCGCCGCTACTCATTGCAAATTGTCTAAAACATTCGCCGCTACTCATCGAAAATTGTCTTAAACAGGTGCCGCTACTCATCGAAAATTGTCTAAATCAGGCGCCGCTACTCATCACAAATTGTCTGTTTTACTAGCAATGAAAATAATTAACGATGCCTAAAATTAGCGAGTCTACATGTAATACGTTCTTAAGCCATCCATTCACCTTAACGTGTCCTTCAGTAAAACGACATCGTTATCTCAACGTAAACAGCAAAACAACGTTTTTCATGTCCAAAGAATCAACACGTCAAGGACGAAACTCATACTTGTTCAATTTCCGGTAGGCCCTGAGCTGCTTAGAGGGTATACTGGGACGAAGTTTACAAAGTAACCTGAAATCCGCACCAAGCATGTTTATGATGCTAGACACAAAATGTGAAGGAGCAGCCGGCAGGCATCTTTCCTGTAACAACATAAGGTTGTGGGTCGTGGACCATCTTCCAGTCCTCAGGGGAAGGAAACAGAAACATTTGAGTTAAAATGCTGTTGAAAGATTCTCAAAATACCATGGACAGAGAAGAACCAAAATACCGACATGATAAAAGATCTGAACATCGTGGAAGCTTGGCTAATAAGGAGCATTCTATTTTGGAAAATGAAATATTTTAACCATATCAAGCGCCAAGGGATTGATTTAAAAAAAAAAAAAAAACATCAGATGTGGTTCCATGAATGAGGGGCAGGGGCTGACGAAGACGAAGGTGGGCACAGGATATAAGTGACTCCTTGGAAATGAATGTGCACAAGGCATGAGAGCTGGGAAGGACCCGAGTTTCTTCCAGGCAGACCGTAGTGAGAGCAACGTTCTGCAAAGTCTGCTACATGAGGATAATGAGTCTGCATTTGATTATTTTCTTTGGAAGTGATGAAGTACAAATCAGTTTGCATGTTAGCTTTTTTAATGTTCCTGTTAGGCCTACTGTTTTTGTAACAACTCAAGCAGTCCCGTGCTGTATCAGTACGAGTTCTAGAAATGCCTCCCCTAAGAGCTTAGCACTGTCAGATCAAAAGGTCAAATTGTATTCTGATTTTGCTTATGCCGCCTCTTACGGTTCGCCCGATGCGATTACCTCTCTGTGTCTTAGCACAGATGGCGCTGAGCTACAATGTGAAACCGGGTGTGTTTTTCTGCTCGATCCTACGCCTTCTTCGTCTTCTTCTTCAGCATTCTGGGCCCTTGAGATTCATTATTGCAGATCTGACTCGCCTCTGTTTAACCGTGTCACTGACCTTCTCTTTCTAGTTGGTGTTTGTAAGGCTGTACGTATAATATCTCTCCACCGCTATCTTGGTCTGTCTCGTGATATGCTCCCAATCAACGTGTTTGTTTACTCAGTGTCTGTCTTTCTGTTATCTGACATTAGGGCCATATTTAGATTTAATGAGGCCCTAAGGTATATAACGCCTTGAGGTCCCTACTTTTTAAAATTAAACCAGCTAATCTAAGAAAACTTAAAAATATATATGCTTTTGAAATATACTGATGCTGGAAATATATTTTCGTTTGATTTTTTTAGTAACAGAAATTTAAAAAATAAAAGAAAGAAAAAAAGAATATGTCTGAAAAATCACACAAATTATATTTTAAAAAAATTCAATAATATAAAAAAAAAATCATTTGTAAACACACAAATGTACGCAAATAAATAATGCGTTAAGCCCCTGTAGATTGTGAGGCCCTAAATGGCAGTTTAGTTAGCCTATGCCTAAATGCACCACTGTCTGGCATTTTCTTTACAAGCCACACCTATGGCAGGAGATTCTATAACCAGCTCCCTCCTCATGGGAACAATCATTTGAAGTACCTTAGAGTAGTTGCTGCATCATATGACTGAGCACGCCTGGGGAGGACCAGTGTGCAAAGACGTCGATTATGATTACATAATATACACCTACTGCATCTGTTAACCAACATGATACTAGTAATTAGTTGTGATTTACGCAGATTATGCATTTAGTTGTTGCTTTTTCAAAAATACTAAAACCCCACTCGCTAGCTCCGTTGGTTAAACCTGACTGCGCTGCGACAGGGTGACGAACTCCGTGTGGCCCGGGTTTACGCCCGGGGGTATGCAGAAAAGCCATATTTCTCCCAGTTAACAGTATCTATTATGGAATCAAGGCCGACGAGTTGCAATATCCATAGTTCCATAGTTTCTGGATATTAAAAAAGTACTAAACAAAAATGTACAATGAAAACCATAATGTTGATTCATGGTTTATTTATAGCTATCATCCTTTCAGACGCCGTTGCAATGGTATCGACAGTAGTATTGACAGCCGCCAGTTTAGTAAGCATTTGCAACCTACTGTGAACGTAGAATCTTCTAGTAAAATCCCAAACAGCACACACACACACACGCACACGCACGCTCGAACGCACGCACACAAGCTGCTAGGTTTGGTTCAGCAACGTACTTTACAGAACGCAATCCATTCTTTTGAAATCGTTACTTCCACAGACCGGTTGCACATTTGGTTTGCTCATCACAATCATCTTTCGATGGAGTCACATTGCCATCTACATCGGAACCTGCAGTGTGGGCTTGTTTGTCAGCAGCATGTCTCCGACAGTTATGTCCATGGCTGAGCAGTACATTGATATCAATCGTAAGTTGTTCCTGTGTGGATTCCGGGCTTTCATTTTAGAGAACAAAGAATATAGATCCACTGTCTCCACCGCCCCTTCCCCCCCCATCTTCCCCCCCCCTTCCCCCAATAAACAAGCATGTCGTTGAGAGCCACCTAAAAGGGGTGTTTTCTTCAAAGATGGAGTGCATCGGCGCTAGAGGCAAGGAACCAACACTTTAGATGCAAATAAGCCAGAGGTTAGTTGCGTATCCTTTACAGGACGTGGCGGAACCAAAAACAACAGCCCCTGGATGTTGTGTGGTTTTTCTAGGCAAATTTACCTCCAGTAGTTTGCCAATGCCCTAGACGGTCGGCTCTCTTGATACCACTGACGAAACCAACGCATGGCCCGCAGCTGGGATCGAACCCAGGATTCCCGATATTACGAAGCGTTCGCCTCGACTTAGCCACAGCATCGACTTAGCCACAGCATCGACTTAGCCACAGCATCGACTTAGCCACAGCGCCGACAAGTAAACCAGAACTGTGAGGGGAAAAGGGGAAAAAAGGAAGTGTACGCAAAAACTCAAGTACTGTAACAAGATCAAGGTCCAGGAGGGATGAACAACAAAAGCTTTCCTTTGGAGTTTTACAGCCGGTGAACGCTACGAAGAAGAGGAGTCGTAAGTTGACACATTGTCAGTATAATGGTGGTCTTCAGAGACAGGTTTCATTAGAATACATATTTGTAAACTGTCAACAAATTAGACATATGCGATGCAGATGGATATTGTTCAGTGCAGATAAAAAAAAAAAAAAAACACTCTTGCTTAGTAGTTATAACCTTTAGTTTGATTCAGTACTTCTTTAGTTGATTCTTTTTGCACACTTTTCCTGCGTAGTTAATACTTTCCAAAATAGTCTTTCTAGGTATTTCTCACACAATACTTCTTTCACAATGTCTTACTCAATACTTCTCGCATAATATCTTACTCTGTACTTATACCACAATGTCTTACTCAATACTTATCCCCTGTCTTACACAATACGTCTCTCACAATGTCTTTCCCAATACTTCTTCCACAGTCTTACTCAATATTCTCCGCAAAGTCTTAATATTTTCAATAAAGTCCTACTCAATACTTCTTCCAAATAGTTCCTGTCAATACTACCTCCACTGACTTCATCTTATTCAATAGTTCTCCCACTTATTCAGCACATCTCACAATTACTCTTATTCAATACTTCTCCTGAATTCTCCTTCATCATCTTTATATTATATTTTCAGCTTCTATAACAACATGCTTGGTGGTAGTTGCTGCTCTTGGTGAGGCCTTGTGTCCTGTCATAGTTGGAAATGTAAGTGCCAGTTTTATTTCTTTTATTTTCTCATGTTCAATTTCAATTTCTCTCCCCCCCCCCCCCCCCCCCCCCAGATTTATCTACAATATATTTTATGTTGGCTTGAAAAGATTGTATAGTGCAAAAGAACTTCAAAAGACTGCAATAAGGTTTAACTAATGCTAACACTTTCTTTAAAAAACAAAAAATACATACATACATATATATATATATATATATATATATATATATATATATATATATATATATATATATATATATATATATATATATATAAAAGACATCAGCTTCTTTTCATGTGTACATGTCAACATTTAACTATTTGAGTTCCAAGTACGTTCATAGGTTCCTACCTAGAAGCCCAATGAACGCATGATGCGCCGATTTTATGACTCTCTTAACTACCCCCTTGGCCTGGGATTCTAAACCTCCTGGGACTCAAAGAGTTAATACTAAAAACATTGTAATGAATAATTAACACATGCAGGATACTGATTCAGACTGTTAATGTCTACATCTCTACTGGCAGAAAGCATATCGTACTTCAGCATAAAGAACACACTTTACTACTCAACACGATTAATAAAAACTTAAAAACAGTCATACATGACAAATACTACTGTTATGTTGACAGCCTTCAATATTTTCACTAGTAATCCATTGTGCTTTAGAGAGTCAAGTGAATTACAGCCCAAGGTGATGGCAAGTTTGACTAGAAAAACCTGCTTGTGTTAAAATGATAATATCAATTGATCCAAATCAAAGGTCTTTAGCTTTGTAAATATAAGAAGGAATGAAATTATCAATGAACATTTATGAATGGCATTACTAACAACATATAAATTTTACCTTATCAGTTGTTGTTCTTACGTGGGTAATTTTTCTATTTTTTTTAAATTTGTGCTGAGCTTTTTTTTAAACTATGTTCTACAGCAGTAGCATATGTTACCAAGATTATATTTTGTTAATCAACATTTAAATGTTCATTCTGCATGACATTCAGTAATAATTTGGTAATAATATGTGTTTGTTTTGTCCATGGTTTACCTTCAGCTGTTGGTCAGCTCAGGTCCTGGCAGTTTCCTGGTCTTCTGTTTGACATTTAGCATTGCAGCCATCTTCCTGTATGGAGCCCTTTTTGTGGCTGGCAGACAGACAGATAAATATCGAGGTACGAAACGCTACACTTCTCTCCTTTGCTTCAGTTGTCTACATTTTATTCTTTGCTTTTTTTTAAGAATATGTATAGTTTAGAGCAGGGCTATTCAACTGGCGGCTCGAGGGCTAAATCAGGCCGGCACATGGCCGGTGGATCGTTGCCAGCTACATCGTATTAATTATCTTTCTATGCTGGGGCTCAGGCTTATGACCCCTGCGTAAACTTGGTTGAAAAGCCTGGTTTAGAGGAAGACAATGAGAGAAGTTTGAGGACTGCCATTGTCTGCTGGCATGAAAGTGTGTCAGCACATACACTGTTACGTATTACAGAAGATGCAAGATGTGAAGAAAAAGGGAAAGATTTAAAACTGAACAAACAGTATATCTGCAAACTTCACAATAAAGCAAGCACAAACAAAACTTTGCAGCTGTGGAGCCTTTTTCAGCACAAACATAGATTATACAATACTACACATATACACAATATCACTTATCTTTATATCTCGTGACAGCCAGGTCAATGTCAAGCCAATAGTCGGACGAGGCACGTAGGGCCGGAAGAATAAATAGCCCAAGAATATGCCAGGGGCCATCACTTAAGGATAAGATGAAACTGTCTAGACAGTTCAGCCCCTAGGATTTAGATGTAGCTGTGTTGGCAGTTTGGTCCACTGAGCGCCAGAGTTACAAAAGTGTATATAAAGTGATTTTCAAAAGACTTGCGAGCTCTGTCACTGGAGTGGCTAGATTTAATGGCTGTCACATCCATGTCATGGACACCTTGGTGGTCCTGGGCATTTAAATGAAGTGGTACTTGTTTCAGAGCGCCATTCTGCACGTATAAGAGATGTTGTCTGAACCTGTCAGCCAGCCGTAAACCTGTTTCATCAATATATTTAATGCCACATCTCTTGCAGTTGATAGCGTAAATTACATTATGGCTCGTGCAATGTGGAAGGTGGAATTCAGAAATTCCAGGCTGGTACCCTAAACCACATATGGACAGGTCTATGGCAAGAGACTGTCCCCAAGTGGGACTAAGAGGCAGGAAATAACCAACTCTTAACTAGAATGTCCTTGAGGTTACGGTCATGCCAGTAGGCCACAAGAGGAAGTTCAGAGAAAATCTTGCTGGTTGTAGGCTCAGCCCTAAGGATAGAGACTATTTTTAGCATGGATGTTGTGAGGGTGGTAGGTAAGTATGAGAATAGTTCTGTTGTGGTAACGTTTAGGCTTGGATGTGAAGTGATATGATCAACAGATGTGAAGAAGCATGATCACCCATGCAGTCAGCAAGGCAATTCATGATGTTAGTAGTTTACTGACCTTAAAGGACACAAAGTTAAACAGACAGATTGGCAATGACAGCAATAAATTGGGTGGTGCTAATTCTTCACTCAGTTGAAACATAAGGTTGGAGGGATTTTATCTGTGGCCACTGAAACATTCTCCAGTTTAAAAGCAAAAAGCTACTACCATGAAAACAGCAGAGAATGATATCAATGAACAAAACAGTTATGTGCTGTACAAACAAGATGCGCCTGACATGACATTAAATGAATAAACACTTTGAATAAGATAGCCTCATTTTCAGTACTTACAATCCGAATCCAGACAGTAAAAAGTGAATTAATAAATGTTTAGTGTAATGTATCTGGTAATGTGAATGTAGCAAGACCTAACAGAAAGATGAGTCAAACAGCGATCTGTAATTTAGCATATGAAGGAAAGAGATACATCAGTAAGAAAGATAAAAAGATTAGAAACATAATTTCCTGGAATATGGGCAAATCTAAGACTAGACACTACCAAGACTTTATTTACCACAAGAAGTGTTGGGCTGGCCTGGGCCTCAGCTTGTCTGATGGCTAACTGGCCTCATGGGCTGCTGAAGAAGTGGGGTTCCTAAAACATTAGACTGAATTTAAAATATAAATGACTTCACAAAATAAAAAAATGACGTCCTAGTGGTATTCAGTCAGTCAGTAGCATGTTCTTTGCAGAACCTTGCTCTCATAACAACTCTCCAGAAAACTTCTCAAACACAAGCAAGATGTTCCACATCTGATACACCTCTCTGGAGATAATCTGCCACATCCTGCACCCATCTTCTCTTTGCCCTTCGTCTTCTTCTCTTCCCTTTGCGTAAAGTATTATTATTTTATGCAATTAAAATGTATGTTGTAATATTATTTCTGTACGCATGTGAACCCAGTGATGTTTTACTACTGGGTTCTAAGGCTCCACTCTGGAGTAAGAAAGAATACTCACTGCACCCTAACATGTGTGTAATAAAAGGTGACAAATATGGGGTGTTCATTTTGAAGTCAAAGTGCATCTGCCTGAGAGGTGATGAACCAACAGTCTGCACACACAAAAAGTCAAGATCTATAAAATGGAAGGGCATGCAAAATCCAGGTTCTGGAACAAGAACACAGTATACAAGTGGACAAACAAACATAACTTTCTACCAGAGTTTACAGCCAGTAAATGCCAAGAAGATGAAAAAGAAGAAGAATAAGATTATTTCCACTTAATATTATTTGAACATTTGATTTGTTTCCTTTAAAGATTATAATTATAGCCTTGTATTTGGCATGAAACCCCTTAGTTTCCTGGTAACTTACATTTTTACACAGAATCCACAATTGGCCATAAAACTGCCTTACTTTTAAACATATAAATTGCTGCTGCATGAAGTAATTAAAGCAACTGCTTTTATCTCTACAATGATTTATTCTTTTCATTTTGCAGCAACTAAGGCAGAGTCTTTCTTCTGGTTGTCAGGCAAGCAAATCGTTTTGGAAGGGGAGAGCACTTTGATAAAACCGTGCAGTATTAAATACTACAGCCGTATGTCAGAAAGTGAGTCAACAATGGAACTGGCAGCCATCGGATCACAAGAAAATATGAAAGGCACGAATAATGCAAAGTGACAGCACTCAGAAACTCCATAGCTGCTCCACTATATATTTTTTTTTTGTAAATGAAAAACTCAGACCTCTTCAGTGCCAGTGAAAGGAACTAAATATTATATTTACAATATTCCACCACAAATTGTTATAAACATGAAACCAAAGGCGAAATTGTGTAATTATCATATCATATCATGTGCTGCTAGATGCAATGCATAACAAGATCAGGACTGTGCTGCCTACCTTTAATTTCTGTAACTTTTCCTGGCACTCATTTTAGCTTGAGTCAACCTTTTTTATCAACAACAAAAAAAGAGAAATCTGCCATTATGGGGATTTTAACTTATGTTCTTTAAGCTTGCAGGTATATGTTTATATATTTCACTATCATAACTTTCTGCATGAACGTTCATGCTGTAAGATTAACATAAACTGGTTATTCTGTGTGTGTGTGTGCGGGCACATGTTTACATGCTTAAAAATAAAAGTAATAAGAATATTTTTAAAATTTGACCATTGAATAATTCCTTTCATTGTGACTCAGACGGCTGGAGTTTTTCCTTTTCAGACAAACAATCCTACAAATATGTTATGGTTTAAATTTGCTGTTTATGTAAATGCTCATGAAAATAGCTTGAACCCAAGTTTCTTATTTCACAGTTTTGAGGTCAACAATCTCTACTTATTTCCCCCTTATGTTTGTTGATGATACATTCCCTATTGGGTCATTATATATAGAATTATATTCCAGAGAGAAATTCTAAACAAGAGAATGTATTCCTGGGCAAGAGGAAGGTAACAATGCTTAAACAACTTGACATGTATTGATTAATGCTTAAGAATAGTGGAAGAATGTATGTCTTTACTCTTCTCAGCATCTATGAGTACCAGTTGGTACATATCACTTTATTAACTATAGCTTCGTCATAATTATATTCTCTTAAATACCAAGCATTTGCCTACCTCTAATCTCTATTTCATGATACCCAAGTTCTGATCTAGTTATCCCAATATTGTTTTATTTCTATGGGTCCTCCTTGTCTTGCAGAGTGTCTTTGCTCAGCATTTATGCTGTCTCTGTCTTCCTAAAAAGGATTGTTCAAATGATTTTAATTTGCAATAATTTTATAATGTTAATTTAATGAGAGATGTTGAAAGGAATCCACACTCAGATTAAAGACCAAGCAATCAGTCAGAAGTAGTCACTACTATGAAGATTGATTACAATGGATCACTTATGCTCTGCCTTGGCTTTACTAGGAAGAGGGAATGTAACCTGAAAACTTGATGTTATGCCAGGGCAGTCAAGGCCCTTAGTCTTGGATGGCAATTAATCCAGAATGGAAGCTCTGCCCACAAAGAGAGACTGGAGGGGAGGGGGGGGGGGGAAGGGAGAGAAACAAAGAGAGAGAGAGAGCACTGCTCTTCTGACCCATCAGCTTCTGTTGCATGCTTTGTTTCAAGCAATAGGAATAAACTCACAGGGAGCAAGTACAGCAGGGATCTACCAGTCGTCAGTAGAAATTATCCTCGTCGACACGCGTTTCAGCCCACTATTCCTAGACGCATTCTGAGGTGGGCCCTCCTGAGTTCATGAAGCTCAGGGCTGGTTCCCTGCTGCACGGGATTACCGGATGGTGTTTTACTTTCGGCCAGAGACAAGACGACTTGGTGGTTTCGAAGGAGGTACTGTGAGATAAGAAGCCGTCGCGGCAGCCTAATTAAAGCAGTCGGCATGCCTGGACGACCGAGCGACAAGCTTACTTTGGTTTACCGGACACATGTTGGACTTTTATTAGCAGTTGGCAGAGGAACACTGGCAGACAATTCGGACACGATGGACTTTCAAAGGGATGAGAAACTCTTTTCCACTAGACACCCGGACCAGCTCACCGAGGCCCGTCCCCTACGTTGTTGCGCTGCGTCCAAAGCCAGCTAGAGGCCCTTTCGGCTACCTCTCCCAGTTTTTTGAGTGTTCGTTTCCGTTCATTACCGCGCAATCCCAGTTCTTTCACCACATTGTAGAGCGAAGTGGAAACGAGGCCTCTCGCTCCCACTTCGACGGCAAATACCTGTACCGTGTAAGCCTCGTTTCTCCTCAAACCGGCTGCTAAATCACTGTACTTCTCGAGCTTGTACAAATGATTCTCCTCCATACACGACTCAAACGGGACAGTCAACTCAATCAGGATGAACTGCCGTTTTTGCGCAGAATGGAGAACAATGTCCGGTCGCAGGCCGGTTTTACGGATCAACTCGGGGTACCGTTCATGGCCTGGCAGATCAACCGCCAGTAACCAGTCCCTCGCAGAGTCTAGCACAGATGGAGCGAATGCATATTATTGTTACCTTTCCTTTAGAGCAAACAAAGGCACCATGGGAGGGATCACGCTGCATTGGCGACAAATGGTCTCTACAAAATAGCTTATGCTTTGTGCTACTGATTTAACCTGCTATCACCACGGGCTGTGCTTTCCGTATGGCTGTGATTAAAATATAACACTGTCAGTGGGAAAGAAGGAAAGGTGCTGACAAAAATAACAGTCTGAGACTTCTGTCTCTTGACAGGTTTGTTGGGAAATGAACAGACAGACCGATTAGCTGGTTCTGCTTCACTTGGTGGTAAACCGATGCATACGAAGCTAGATGCTGACAAGGCCATTTGGAAGTGCATGAACAGCGTGAAGGGAGGAAATGAGCAGTTTGGGAGTGCATGAACAGCGTGAAAGGAGGAAGTGAGCAGTTTGGGAGTGCATAAACAGCGTGAAGGGAGCAAGTGAGCAGTACAGTCCAAAAAAGAATGGTGCAGCAGGAAGTGACCACCACTCAGTTCTCAGGGAAAAGGCAAGATTGACATACAAAAATATGTTCTGGCACCATCAGAACTGGAGTCTTGCCCTGGCTGCTGAAAGTGAGGACTGAGTGCTTATGAGAATGTACAGTATGCTGTGATGTCAGTTTTTAATTTAACTTCACCCAGCTTAACCTAAATCACACTTTTTAACTGAGTTCAGATTTGAAGACAAAACATTACTGGCTCAAAAATAAATGTGTAAATAAAGAAGTCCAAATAAAACTGACAAGTTAGTGAGACTATATTTGTTTAGCAACAGGAGAACAGAGTTAGCAATGGGATATTTTTTCATAACACAGGAAGAGATTTAGGGAGATAATTGTTGTTTAAAACAGTGGGGCAGAGTTAATAAGGTGTTATTTGTTTATAACAGAGGATTTTATTATTTAACCAGACGGTTCAGTGTGAAGAGGCAAAAGAAGTGCTCGGGGTTTATTAGCAAAAGTTAATGGACGATGTTTGGTGCAGGAAAGCCTAGCATTTGATACCACAACATCCAGCTTAAAAATGGAGGTGGAGGCGGTCACTGCAGCTTTCCACTGGTTAGAATACATGACACACAAATCGTGATTGCAACTGACTCAGAAAGCATTCTGAAAAAGATCAGGACAGGCATGCTTCGTGCAGAGTGGCATGCTCGCTGCAGAGGACAATGGTAAGGAGTATTGTCTTGATTTTTTTCACCGGGGTACACCAGTGCATTGGGAAATGAACAGGTGGACAGACTGGCTGGCTCTGCACAACTTGGTGGAATACTGATACATGATAAGGCAGACGTGGTTAGTGCCTTGTGGAAGAGCGTGTACAGTTTGGAAGAGCAGATGGATCACCACAGCCTCGTGAAACTGATGCTGGGTGGAGTGACGAGAGGTTCTGACAAATGCTCGAGGCTCAGAGAAAAGGCAAGATGGACATTTAATTCGAATGCTACTGGCACCATTAGTATGGGAACACTTTGCTGGCTCCTAAAGATGGGGACAGAGCACTTATGGGAATGCCCCAAGTGCTGTGATGTCGGTTCTTTAATCAAATCATATCAAATCAACACGAGGAATAAGTTAGTGAGATGACATTTGTGTATTAATGAGAACAAACTTGAGATATATTTGTTTATATATACACTGGGGACACAGCCTGTCAGTAAATATTTCTTAAGCACTTGAAGTCATAGTCTGTGAGATGCCATTTCTAAATCACACAGCATCCTCTCATTGACATGAGTTTTATCACACCAAATATTTCATAAGGCATCTCCACAAAATGATGCTTTCTGCACTACAACTGTCTATGCTTTGTTGGTTGATACATGTAAACATGCTGCTGTTTGTCCAACTTTATTTGCTCTTTTCAGTTCTTCTGTCTATGGCTAAGTGGTTAGGTCTTTCAGTCCCATGCAATGTGTGATGTGTAATAGACTTTTCTACACAAATCCCAGCCATTGGCTACTGTGTTCACCACCCTTTTACTAAAGAGTGACCCAGAAATCTGGTCTCTTAAAGACACCTTAAAAAAATAACTGACCGGGCTTATTTAAGACACCTGAGCAAAGTGGCCTAAGAAACTGCTCACTCCTAATATGCCTGACAAAAAAATGGCCGGAGGTATTGACATCTAACCACAAGATTGTCTGCATATAAAAATTTGAAATAAAATAAATGTGCACGCCTTTAGGCGCATCGGGCATATGGGAAGAGCACCCATATTTTTACAGACCAACTGGCACTAGGTGAGCAATGTGGTCAGCATTACGCTGTCCATCTTTGTTTCCCCAGGACATACTTCCTGGTACCCATTTTAGGTTAGATTGACCTGCCACACCCCATACCATGATTTAAAAAAATCCACGCAGCCAGCAGTGGGGTTTGATCATTTTATGTTGGAATTATGAGTAGGACTTTCAACGCCTAAGCCACGGATGCCATCAGCATCAGTATATCGTGTAAAGTAAATGTGTTTATGAATGTGTGCCCATAAACTGGAAAATAAACAAGCTAAGAGAAAATCAAACTGAGTCTCTGGAGATGTCACGAGACACAGGTAAAAGTTGTGTTTCATAGAAACAAAATCAATCATATACACAGATTCTTAGAGACTGGGAAATGAAAGAGAGTTGCTGAAAAAGAGACTGTAAAATATAATATTCTTTTAAAAACCAATTGAATTGAAA